TTGTAACGGCAGCAAATGCTGTCGCCTTGTATCGTCTGCCAGTATGTCCAGTATCCATCGTGAGTTGTATCCACTCAGCCCACGATTCACAACATCTGCACGACGAACATAGCAGTTGCTGAGGCGTGACACCCAGCCAGACAAATATCCCTCTTGTGTCTGTGAGCTGCCCAGGAGAACAATGTGGCGCATCCCCCTGTAGCTCCTTTGTCAGTGCAGGGGACAAGACAAAAATTTATAAAGAAATATATATGTTTATGTATGTATATGCTGAGAGACAGATAAAAAGGGAATATGAAGAAATACAGAGAGAAGCACTGGGAATTATTACTCATAAAATAGATATTCTATGAGTATTATCCATGCAGACATGAGAGTCCACTGCTCTAGAGAAACAGCACCACCACTTTATATTCCTCTTGGGCATTAGTACTGGAAATCGAGAGAAAAGCTTCTTGCAACACTCCCGAAATAATTATAATTATCCTCATCATTATATTTACTTTTGTGGGCAGCGGCAGATATATCCCACTGCAGTTTTTTGTGTGTGCCTTGGAGGAAGCAAACAGATTGGACATAGTACATCATTTACAAAGCACTCTCTTGGTAACTTCATGTGTCTCAAGTAATCCATACGGGTTTCATTGTGTATGTGATCATACTGCTCTGGCCTTATTAGCATACAGATCTGAGCAAGAGTATCAAAGCCTAACTCATCGCAATCAGTCGTACGATTTATGAGATCTACCAAATCAAGAGCAATAGAAACCCAAGGACGCCTAATCATCCAAGTTGTTGTTTTCATTTCCTTTAATTCACCTGATTCGACATATACATCTAAAGTTACTAAAGATGTAATGGTGCAAATTGTACGGAGAATTTCCTCTACATCGAGTACTGCACTGTGAACATGCTTATTCTCTAGTATAGGTACACGGTCTTGCATACCGTACCGTATTTCTTTTGAGAGATCACATCCTCGCCAAGGGAGTTGAGCCTCCTGTGCGAGAAGAAGTGTATCTGTCATAGAACGAAGTAGAGAAAGCCCTTTCGTATGGGAAAGTTCGCCCTGTGCTAAGCGAGAAACAGTATTTAGCATAGCTTTAAGTATCAAACGAAGAGCCACATCCTGCTCCGCTCCGCAAGGGGTGTTTGAGAATGATGACGAGTATGCGCAGTGATTACATGCCTCACAGATATGAGCAATATTCTGTATTTGTAAAAATACACCACACGAAGAACACACACGAGGCCCAGGTAATAACGGCAATAGTAGTGCTGTTGGTAACTGTTTCATCTTATCTTCGTCAACGGTTGTTATTGCAAGAACTTTCTCTTCAGAAGCCCCCTCATCTGTGGTTTCCAGATTTCCGTTGCATTTCTCCCTCGCCATAGAAAGAGGTTCTCTATAGCGTAATGGGTTCGACTGATAGCCCCCAACAGCAGCCATATTATGTGTGACCCCACAATATTTACATACCAGCAATCCCAAATCTGCTCTACTCTCTAAATTCACACCCAAGCAATTATTCTTCAAGCATACCCAAAGTGAACATGGTATATGGGGACGATGGGCAAAACATTTTGAGCATACCACTTCTTTATCGTTAGGATATAGAGTCCCACAATGTGGACATGATGTATAGATGGGGGATGGTCTTGTATCAACATCATTTGGATCATTTTCTCCCTCTTTTATAGTGTCGTGAAGAATGAGTTTTGCACCACAACCATGGCAAACAACACTCCATGCAGGATTTGTCACGTTGCAACAACTACAGTCACGTGTAAACCATGGAATATCTAATCGTGTTGTTGGTGGTGGTTTTGATCCACCACATCCATGGCAGTGTGTGAGAAGCCATGGACTGAGAGTTCCACATTCAACACATCGCCAAAGTGTCTTTTTTCTCAGTCCTTTACTCGCAATAACACTAAGAGTTCCACAAGTTGTACACCATGGACGTAATAAACCTAATGGATTATGACGTTTACAAGTATTACAATCATAAGCTGTTTCTGTTAATGCCTGTTCCATCATTGGTTGAACAGATCCACATTTGGAGCAATAAAATAAGTGTTCTGCTTCATTTGTGTGATTACAACGATTACATCGCCATTTTCGAAGAGGATAAACAGTACAGTCATCCCTCACGTGAAGTTCACCTTTTTCTCCAATAGGTTGCTGTGTTTCGGCACCACATACCAAGCAAATAGAAGAATTTGTAGGGGAAAACCCTTTACATGAATGACAGCGAAGTACAGCTATTTCTAGTGATCCACATTGTTTGCATGTATTAGATTGTTTTTTATTCCAATGTTGGCAGAGGTAACATTTCCACGGTAATCTTTCTTCTTCCGCAAAACGTCGATACTCCAAGGCACTTGATATAGCAGGTATTAACAATTTCTTATTACAAGAGGTTTGCTCTACATGATGTTTGAGAGACTCCAATGCATCCAGTGGCAACTCCTGCAATGGAGCTAAAGAAAGGGTAACACTTGTAACAGCAGGAATAATATGTTGTAACATCATAGTTACACCATCTTTGTAATCAATTCGAATAAATTGAAGAAGTGCAACTCGATAAATTGGTAATTCAGGATGTTTACGCTGTAAAAAAGTTAACATATCAAGATTCAAAGATTTTATTTCATTACAACATTCAACAAACTTTTTTATATATATCTCAACAGTTTCCATTAAGAGACCATCTCTAGCACATACAGCTACTGCCGCACGTCGTTGTATTAGAGCATCCAATACCTCAAGAGATTCACGTCTTGTCATGTTTTTATCTTCTACTTCTTCATTTTTATTGATTCCACGAACAATAGCAGCAAATACCACAGCAGCAGGAACAGGAAATGACCAAGTACGTGTTATTTCATATAAATGAAACAATCGTTCTACTATATTTGTCGGTTCACTAAAACATTTTCGTGCTGCCCCTTCTACTGCCTCTAACATCATACAACGAATATAGTATGGGAGTCCAGCAGAAAAATGTTGTCTTGTACTTTCCAGAAATTGTGTAAATACGGTAACAGCTTCTGCATATTTTCCGAGCATCACCAATGCTTTCCCTCCTTCCCATGAACTAGCCAGCGGTGGACAACGTATAAGAAGTTGATGAACTGCCTCATTCGCCCCTCGACGCAAGAGTATCTTGAAAGAGAGTCGAAGTCCTTCATGTAAACGTTTTTCAATCCCAGCACGTGCCCCACGGTGTAGTCCTATACTATCACGATCTTCTCCTGTCATTGGTGTGGTTTGTGAGAGGATGTTAAGATGTGACATACATCTTGTTTGGATTTCCGATGTGAACTGTACGGTTTCATCATCCACGTCCACTGCAGACTCGCCAATGTGTCCGAGTGTCATCAGTGTATATGCGTCCAGGAGAAGTACTTCACGGTATACAAGAGGACCACAAGGTGCCTTGATTGTAGATGGATCTTCATCTGGTTTTGTCTGCCATGGGGCTATGATAGCACTATGTAGCTCCAGTACTGGACGTACACGACTGTGTCGACGAAAGGAAGAAATAATACGTCGAAGTGAAAGAAGCGCACCCACACGTACACGTTCCTTTATAGATTTCTTGGAAAGTACATAATGGGCATAATGAATCATTTCATAAAGAAGAAGACGCCAAAAAGGGGTAAAACAACTATTTTGCTTCACCACTTTATTCATAGAAACTGATTGAAGTAATAAAGAAACCTGAGTTTCGTCTTCGCTATTGTACTTACTTTCCGATATATTTAAAAATGAACTTGTTGTTGCCGTGCAAACAGCTGTCGTTGCAGCTTCAAGTAATTCTGGTTCAGGTCTTGGTACCGCTACAGCACGCCAAGCCAGTAACCACAAAATCCCAGCATGAAATTTTTGAGTTTGTAATTGATGTAAACTCTTACGCAGAGTATGATTTCCCTTTTGTTTTTGTTCTTCTTCTTCCTTTAGACGACGTGCTAGTGGTAAAAGCAACGCGATGTTCATAATATCATCTGGAGAAATACAATCGCCTACTAATGTTGTGGTACATTCCCACACCTCTTGTAGTGTCCATGGCCATTGTTGATTCTCCACGGCAGCACTTAAAACAGAGAGTATAAACTCTCTTTGTATATTTCTCACCAATTCAATGGCTTCCTCATGAGGGGCCCCACCATCACCTTGTAAAGAAGGTGAACTTAAAATAGAATGTAATAATGCCGTAAAGCTTTGAGCATTTATTTTACTTGACACAATGGCTTCACACACGATACCTTCACGCCAGAGTTGTCGAAGTAAAGAAGAACGATAAATCCAGAAAGCTAATGAAGGTGGTGTACTAGATGAAAGGGAACCTCTATGCTTACCTAAGCGCTGTAGTTCAGAAAACATCAGCGATGCCCCGTGGGGTACTCCACTACTGTACTCTAATGGTACTGCGCGGTGTGCACTCCCTATGAGTCTCTTCCGTACATATGGTCTCTTTAGCATTCATTCGTTTTTTATTTGTTTTTTTTTTTTTGTTTTTTTTTCTTTTCTTTTATGCTATATCATAATAATAATAATAAATTAACCAAAGAAGGAATAAAGGGAAAAATAGTACCTTTTTGTTGTTTATAAAACCACAGGAAACACAATAAAAGAAAAAGGCATAAACACTACGAATGAAATGGTTAAAAAAAAAAAGAAAAATAAAAAACATATAATGGTAGATATTATTTTTCGTCTCGTCAGGTACAAGAAAGCAATGCTTGAGAAGGTAAATATAAAAATATAATTCCACTTATGCAATGGTACCCCTATCAAAAGATGCCGTGTCAAGTGCCTTCACAAGATCTTGTACACACACTGCTCGATTATTTGTCACACGAAGACGCTCAACTGGTTCATAGTATGGTATAAGTACCTCCTGTCTTAATAAATTCAATGTTCGTTGTAGAACCTCTATACGCATCTCTGATGATAATGTGGATGTCTCTGGTATTATTGATGATGATGATTGTTGTTGTTGTTGTTGTGCTGGTGGTATTGATGTTTTTTCTGCCATAACACCGGCAGTGTTACTACTAGGGGCTTCTAAAGATGATGAATGAAGTGTCGTGGTTTGGTGATCCATAAGTTCACAACTAGACACAGATTCTCACTCTTATGGATTAAATAAATAAATATATATATATAAATAAATTAAAAAACAAAAAGAAGAAGAAAAATAAAATAATAATAATAACAATAATAATAACAGTAAATAATAAATAAATAATTTATAACATCATAATCCATATATTTGGTATCCCCCAGAGAGTCCACACAACTATCCCACTTAAGCAGACTGCAACAGCTGACTCAATAAAACACCCAAGCTAGTATCACTTTCTATTGCATCTGCTGCGATATTGTGATATCCCATATCCTTCGCAAGTACCGCCACATCCTGTAAAAAGAGTTGTATTGCTGCTAACATTAATGGTCGATCAGCAGCTCTTGTGCAATATAATGGTAGCTTCACATCATTTATTCCAGTACATGGTGTCCCTACTGCAGATGCAGAAAGTCCTGGCTTTGTTAACACACAAGAACGTGAGCCACATACTAACAATGGATGAGGAAGTATACAACCGTAAATAGCAGCTGCAGTAATCACGAGATGTGCGGCATAACCTAATGCAAGAGACCACTCTTCCATTAATTCCCCATTTATAACTGTATCTTTACCTTTCATTGGTAAAGAATGTCCACAGATAGTGTCTGACATCCCTGATATACCTACCTGAATAGGGAAAAGTACCCTTAGTTCTCCTATCCGTAACTTTCTAGCATTACCAAGCTCGGCACGACGAGCGGCAAGCAAAACTTCTTCTTCTCCTGATTTCTTTTCCATATCTTCTTTTAATTGCTCTGCACTACGAATGTTTTCTTGTAGTTGATCCAATTGTAATCTCTCAGATATAAGAGCTTCTTGTTCATTCCTGTATCGCTCATGTAATGTATGTATTTTTTCACTCTGTTGATGCAAACGCTCACGAGCCTTGGCAAGACGCACTTCGAGCATTGCGTGTTGTGCACCAACGGCTGCCTCGCCTCTATGCGCCTCTGCCATAGCATCCATCACATTTTGTTGTTCTTCTCTGCGTGCTGTCGCTATATGAGAAAGATAAACCCACGCTAATGAAGCGGTTGTACATGCCTTGAGGTCCCCTACCGTAATATTCTCTGCAGAAGCAAAGACACCTCTGTTTTGTTGTTGTTGTTGTTGTTGTTGTTGTTGTTGTTGTTGTTGTTGTTGTTGCCGCATTGTGTTTGCAACCCCCTCTACTAGCATGAGGGCCGTAGGGGTGGAATTGTTATTAATGTTAGAAGAGGCGTTACTAGTATTGATATCATGAAGATACGGTCTGTTGGTTACATCAATCACAGCCCCACCCTCATCTACTTGCACTCCTTGATGCATTGGAAAGAAGACACCATCGGTACAGCGAAGCAAGACTACAAATGAATTGGCTCCATTGTCTACATGGTAAGGAAGACTAGGGAGCGAGTCGGCTTTTGTGATAGAAGGTGCCACATATTGTACATTAGATGTCCGGATTAACATTGCGTAAAGAAGAAAATCAGTCTCTGGTGCTGGTAACGCCTCCTCCGGGTGTGTAGTACAGTAGTAAAGGGAAAAAACAAATCGTGTGATGCCTTGAAACTGTCGTCGTGTTTCTTCTGGAATGTGATTCCACACTGGGTGCTGCGTATCACGGCAAACCTCACTCATATATATACGAGGGTCCCCACTCGCCTCTAAATTATTGTTGTTCCCGTTCCCATTATTGCTGATATTGCTGTTTTCATTAGTACTACTCCCACTATTATTTGGCGGTCTACTCAAAATAAAGTAGGATGATACACATCGATGTCTTGTAGTGGTTTGGCAGCTACTTCGTGGGACAGAGTTCCGTATGGTTCCGGTACCGCCTGATGTTAACGGCTGATTATTTATTCCACGTTCACCCACCTCTCGGTTATTGCTGCGATCACCATCATTATCGTCATCGCAGTCATCAACATCTGTCTCTGTCGCGTGTAATGGCAAGTTACGGGCGTATATGTGAAGAATATGGCGAAAGCAGCGAAACTCAGCTGGCAGCACTGCAGATGACATTAAATAAATAGAAAAAAAAAAAAAAAACAGAGGAAGGAAGGGGAGGGATTTATTTGGATACAACAGGTAGAGGAACCAAAGAATCGTCGAGCAATGGAATGAAGGGAGTAGAGAGGAGCAACAGCAATAAGAAGAACCTAAACTAAAAAAAAGTAAAATACAGTTCAAGAAAATCTAGAACTGATAAAAGAGAAGAGTCTCTTACCCTTTTTTTTTCTTATGTCTGTCCACGTTTGTCTCCCTTTATGTACTTCAGTGTGTACCTTTCACCCCTTCCCCCTTTCTCTCACTTCATGGCAAAAAGATAGATAGAAAGAAAAAAGAAAAAAAGAACTCAACACCAGGGAGACAGACGTCACTGAAAGTACAAAAAAAAAAAAAGAACCACAAAAGTCTTCATAAAAAAAAAAAAAAACACATAAAAAAACACAAGCAAAGGCAGAACAAAAAAAAAAACGAGAAAACAGAAGTGAATGCGAAAAAAAAAAACAGGAGAATACAACTTAAAATTCCGTTGCGTCAAGTATATTTTTATTATTACTATTATTATGTATATTCTTTGTTTCTAGTTAATCGGTTATTCTCCTGTTTCTTATTCCTCTTTCTACCTCGCTCTCGTACTTACTTTCATTCTCTTTCTTTTTTTCTTTTTTGTTTTACTTTAAAAAAAAAAAAATACTTTTTTCTCCTTCACTGTAGCTTCTTTGGTTTTCGTTTTCTTTCTTTCTCGTTTGTTTGTTTCTTCTCTGTGTCGCTACTCGTCTTCTTTTTCTTCTTCATCATTTCTTCATTTCTTCTTACTCACTGCTGTTGTTGACATTGGGTGCTATTTTTGTAGGGTCCACACGGTCGAAGCCCTCACAGACACGTGCGCACATGACATGCGGTGTTGTTGGGTATGCACTGAGACACAACTGCTGCGTCACGTAATCAATGCCGTCGAGGTTTGCGTCATCTGTGCATGCGATGCAAAAGAATGCTGCAACATTCTTCACACCTCCCTGCAGTGCGTTATCTACTGGCTGCTGGATGGCCTCCTTTGCGATCTGCGTTGCGGTTCGCACGGGGGCCGTGGTGGCGTTAGTGAGGCCGATGACCTCCGCGCCGTGCGGGATGACGGGGGCGACGGATCCCGGCAGCAGGCGCATCAACACCGTGCCGTCGCGGGCCCGCACCTCCCCGTCCCGCAGGAGGGCCGCGACGAGTCCTTTAAAGCGGCGGAACGTGCGGGGCGGGCGGAGGGCGGGGGCGACCTCCACCGTGCGGCCGCCGCGGGCGAAGAGACTGACGTACACCCGCAGCCGCCCCTGCTGCCCGAGCGCCGAGTCGAAGAGCGCCAGGAGGCACTGGTGCACAATGTCCGGCCGCACATCCGCGAGGGAGGCGTTCGCAATCGCCGTGCTGCCGGCGCGGTCGTACGCGTCCACCACACCGTCCCGCCCGAGCAGCAGACCGGCCTTCTCGAGAATCACCACCACATCGCGCGGGCCGCGGGGGTTGGACGGGCACAGCGGGCGGTACACACCGTCGTCGGCAGCCGCAAAGCCATCGGCGTCTCTGGACCGCTTCGCCAATCGCGGCGGTCGATCACGCACATACGGGGGCATATCACCCACTACAACACTACAAACTATACACAAACACGCTCTTCAGAGAAACCTACACCCCCCGAGGGAATAGAAGAAGAAAATAAAGGGGCAAGGTAAAGTTAAAGGGGAGGACGAGGGTATCATCCACACATAATAATATTATTACATGGGAAGGAAAAAGATCATCAAAATGTAAAAAATATATATTTTTCAAAAGGGAATAAAAATAATAATAAGAGTAAGATTATCACAACGCAAGAAGTATTAAGCAAACAGGGATACACAAAGCAAAAGTTGTGTGTATGTCTGTGTATGTTTTTTTTTTTTTCTTTTTCTTTCTTTTAGACCAAAACAGTGAAAAACAAATAGTGTGAATGGTCTAACACTCTCTAAGGAGTGTATCTGTCTTGCGTATTTTTCTTTTTTTATCCTTTGCACGTCTACCTTTTTTTATTACTTTTATTCTTGCATGCATCTATACCTTTTTTTTATCCCATTTTTTCTTTGTTTAAATGAAACAAAACAAAAAAAAAACGGAAAACTCTGTCAATCTTTCTAATCCACGTGAATTATTTCTGGACCCGTCTCTGATGGATCTTTCTCTTGGATTGTTACTTCTTCTGACAATCGGACCACTTCCTCATTCTTGATGATGATGTTGTTGTTACTGTTGTTATTATTATTATTGTTCTTACTGATATTGCTGCTGCTGCAGATTGTGGGGTGTGCAATGTTTACTGCTGCAGACACCAGTTGCTCTAGTCGTCCCAACGCCTCCTCCTCTGATGGATGCAGTGTACAGCCAGACTCTTGCCAGTGTAGCAGTAACCGTAACGTGTCTTCGCAGCGCTGTAATGAGGAGAGGAAGCGTCCCTCCTGATTCTCTGTTCCACTCTGTGAAGAGATGTCTTGTGGTGCCATATCAAACAATGAACCCAGTGTTATGCTGCTCCCTTCCTGACTGTAGTGTGAGACTAAAGATTGCCATTCTTCTGCCTGTTGCTCTAATAGTTCCTCACAGACGCGAATGTTAACAGTAGAGTCAGGATCTGCAGCAGCGGAAACGGTTGTTTCCTGCAGTAAAGTCATAAGGGCAGTGGAGACGGATTCAGAAAGGTGCAGTTTACCTAGTGGAACAGCGGTGTTGCGCTCTGCAAACTGGCGAAGACAGACTGCTGCGTGATAATATTGCATCCCTTCTCTCTCTTCATTTTCTCTATTATTTATTTCTGTATTAAAACTTATGTCAATTAGACGACGTAAACATGCCAGAAAGGTGGAATCTTCAGATAAAACAGATCCCATAAGTGCAATAAGTTCTGATGCCACAAAACGTGCACATACACAAAGTTTTTGAGAAGATTCTGTTGAAACATCTTCTACTATAGTTTGAAGAACTCTTGTAACGACTAATAAAGCAGCTGTAATACTTCCAGATGAAGCAGATCGCTCTACAATATTTCTAATCTTACCAGGTATAGATATAATGATTGCCTGAAGTCTTTCATGAATATGAATATTATTATTATCTGGAATAGTAGAAACATGTTGCCATTCTGCTAAAACAGATTTAACTTCTTCTTGAAAAGTTATAATTTCAGAATCTACACTACTTGTACCTCCTACTGCCCCACCCATTGTTATCTCTTCATTCCACCATTGATAAGTACGTGTGTGATAGTATAAACAATCACACATACAGCAGAAGGAAAAGTGTCTCACTGATGATAATGATGATGAAAAAGTTCCTATTGTAGTATTTTTTCGTCCTTGTATACTCATTGCAGCTAAGTCTTTAGGTGAACGTTCAAGTAGTCTGCATATCTCTGCCAATAAGACTGCTAACGCATTGATAAAGCGGCGTAAATAAGTAATTCTACTGTTAGAAATCGTAGAGGGAAGTTCTCGGAGAGCTCGTAGTTGATCTTCCCCAAGCAATAATAACTCTATTCCTAAAGATTCTCGGTCTGTATCAGATAGGTGATTTAATACAGACCCCCATACCAAAAGTACACGAGCCGCACTAGCATCATTTGGAACAAGAAGTGCTGCTAAAAGTAAAGGAAAAACTCGGAAGCGTAACAAAAGTCCTTGATTAGATGATGTACCTTCTTCATTCTGATAATTTCTGTATTGTGTAGTGTCAATACTCCTACACGCAAGGCGTTGCATTAATAAGAGTAGCTGCATATCAAGACCTATCTCTCCTGAGGAATCAGTAATCCCACCTTTATCATAATCTGTAGAAAACACACTACGTGGAAGACTCTTCGCGTGTTGTAAAACCCGTCGATAAAGAAGTGCTCCAGGCTCGTCATCACATACACTTGTTGATAAAGTCGCTGCTGCTGCTGCTGCTGGTGGTGGTGGTGGAGGTGGTGTTGGTTTTGTTATTGCTATTGTTGTTGTTGTGGTTGTTGTGGTGGTTAATTCTCCTTCATCTGCATCAAAAAGAACAAGTCGCATATGTGGTAACCACAGGAGAGCTGCACTTAACAACATCTCAACATACGCCGCGTCAGAGAGTAAATGTGGTGAACGAGTCACTGCTAACATGGTTGTGAGTGCCGCAACTGACGAACCAGCAGCAACAGATCCCTTTGTCAGTGCTGCCATGGCCTCTGTTGGTGGGGCTGCAAGAGATTGAAGCATCAACTGTAGATGTTCTTCAGCTGACAAGGGTTGTTGATCTTCACATGCCGATCCTATAGCTTCAAGAATAGCTATCAGACGTAAACCAATTATTTGATGTAACTGTTGTGCCGCTTCTGTGCGTTCACTTGTAGCTATCGTCAAACATACAGTAGTGTGGAGTTCTATAATCATTGATACTAATTTGACGTCTCGGACCGCATACGATGGATGTGCCCGTGTTGCTGAAACGACATGAGAAGCGATAAAAGCTGCCAATTTAATTTTTTTCCCTTCACTCCAATCATGAGAAAAAATGTGGTATTGCAATTGTGAGAACATGAAATGTAATATTTTACTGTAAATATGAGTGCTAACAATTCTAAGGGAAGCCACTGAAAGTAAAAGTTTCCATGACGCGTTTAACAACACGAGATTGTGTTCTGTTGTATTAGAGTCGCATAGAAGTAGTAGTTGTGGTAGTGCATGTTCCTCTTGAGATAGGAGAGCCTCCGCCGTCACATCTCTTAACACAGACGCCTCACCAGCCGTTGCTGCTATTCGCAGGGCATCAAGAGCATTACATCCTGAACTCTGCATCTGCGACATTTATATATATATTTGTCGATTTTCCGTTTTCTTCTTCTTCTCACTATTATTTGATTTTTCCTCGTTTTGATGTTTGTGTATATGTGTGTATGGGGGGAGGGAGGGTGAGGGGAAAGAGAGAGAGAGAGAGAGGGAGGAGAACAAACCCTTCTGTACCCAAAATTTACCTATATGGGTAAAGGTTCTTTGTGCTTTCCCACGGCACACTAATAAGAAGAAAAAGAAAAAAAAAAAAGAATCAAGAAGAGGAAGAAGTAGGAGAAGAATCATAATTTAAAATTAAGAAGCAGCAAAAATAAAGAGAGAAAAGGAAAAGTAATAAATAATAACACTTCCTTATTTGGGGAGTGAGGTTCATTTCCTCTCTTCCTGTGTCTGATTGTTGTTGTTTTTTTTGTTTTCTTCTTGTCAATAAATTAGAAAGAGTGAAAGGGAAATAAAAGAAAAAAAAAACATATTTAACTGATGGCAAGACCCTTCAACACTGCAGGCGATCGTGTGACGTAGGCTACAAACTCCCTACGAGTCACCTCTAGAGAAGATCCAAACAATTCTTCCACAATATTCAATGTACCAAACATCGACATGTGTTCTTGTTGTTTATCTACAGATGGTGTAAGAGATCCAAACGTTTCCTTTAAAGCCTCCACAACAACAGAAACGCCTTTTCGTTGAAGTGTAGAACCGTTGGATGGCATGGGATGTGGATAATTATTAACCACATAAAGCATATGAAAGGCCAAATCAATCTTCTCCCGCGATGTCCCTCGGGACATTATTGAGAGCACTACGGCGAACTCATCAAATGTAATGATACCATCACGGTTTTGGTCAAACGTAACAAAAAACATTTCCTGCAAAATGGGACTTTTCACTCCAAGAAATGTTGCACAAGTGCAAAAAATTGGGAATTCAATACCCTGATGTGAAACATCACTGAGAGATGAGGATAAGGCGATAATATCTCGATAAAAACGGGAGTGTAATTGCTTCAATTCTTCAGGTCGATAATGTGTTTCGTTAGCTAGCAGTACAGCTTCCTTTTGGTTAAGAGGTGGTGTGTCATGATTTGTGGATAGAGAACTCCATTCTGACCCCATCTTAACCACTACACTTAGTTCCAAAAGAAAAATAAATAAATAAATAAATAAATAAATAAATAAATAAATAAATAAATAAAAATAGATAAAGTAAAGATTAAAGGAATAAACAACATATAGAGTGATTATCTCTATTCATCATCATTAAAAATAAAAAGAAAAATGATTCAGTAACAAGGAGATAGATTAAGAAAGAAAAAAAAAAGAAAACAAGGAGGCGGGGGGAAAAAAAAGATATGCATGATTCTAGTGTATTAAATTAAAAAGAAAGAAAACCCACCCCAATCTAACGGTTGTAGTAAATGATAAATCTTTCTATTGTGTGCATGGATAGAAGAGTCTACGTCTTTGGTTTCGTCCATGAAAATACGTCTATGCAAAGAAGCAATACAGCAACAGCATGATATATTGTTTCTTTTTCTTTTGTCATTGTTTTTTGTTTTTTTTTTTTTTTCATTTCATTCTTTTCCTTATATTTTGCATCTATAACAAAGTAAAAAAAAAAATCATATATATATATATATATATATATATATATATTTCATGTCTATATACTCGTTTATTGTCGTTGAAGCTGAAGCATCATGGGGGGACTGGGAGGAACACGCACTGCTGTGCTCCTTACAGGCATCTCACGTCTTTCTACACCCTCAGAGTTCAGACGCATAAACATGCGTGAAGAGGAGTGAATCAAATCGTCACTAGTAGAAAGAGTACGCAATACTTCTGGGGTAGTTAAAATCTGATTTTTTTCTTCCTCATCATCATCATCTTCGTCTTCTCCTTTTTCATTATCATTATCATTATATTTTTCCTCTTTTTCCAGAAGATTCGTAGAAACGGTATTTCGAGTGACTCTTTTTGCATCCATGTCTTGCATCCACTGCATCATATACTGAACCTGAGCATGGAGTTGCACATTACGCTCTTCTAATCTTGATGTGGAATCACGATGTTGTTGCATGAGAGTTTGAAGTGAGATATCCAGTTCTTCACATCGTGCTTCTGCTCGTATAGCTCGTTCTTGAGCATCCTGAAGTGATTTTTCAAGAAAATCTAATCGTGCTTGAAGCGTAATTTTATCTTTCTGTGTAGCTGAATCTTTTGTTGTGCGAGCCATATTATTCCTGATTGAAGTTGTCACTCCCACAGGAGATGTTTTTCTGGCTGAAGTTGGATCCACTCTGGATGGTTGAGGAATAGACATGGATGTGGTACTGTTAATCTTACTCCCAATCTCCGTGTTCAGTTTACTTCTTGTACTGTTTGTTCGCACCACACTCTCACGCCATGGACGGCTGCGAGCCTCCACACTTTTCTCGCGAGTTAAACGACGTGGCTCTGTCTGCGGTGTGCTCACAGTGGGCTTCGCACGGGGAGTGGGACAGTTTTGATTCCACGCAGGACGTGTTGGTGTGACATCACGACGAGATCTTGCTGTAGATGATAATGCTGGACGAACCACAGGAGTTTTTGAGGTTGTAGAGGGACTCCATTGTGTTTGTGAATCGGATGTTTTTTTATGTGAGAATGTTGTCATGGGTTGGTAAAGTGATGAAGTCTGAGTGAAATCTTCCACAGTAACAGTTGCCGTGGGAGAAGTTGTAGGAAGAATAGAAAATGGTGCAGTGGAAGTAGTAGTATGAGGAACTGTATGCGAGTCAGCGATATCATCCATAACTTGTTCAATGTGAACACTATCTATGATGGTGGCATCTGTTTTTTCAAATGGATCTCTGTGAAAACTTGGACGCCGTGCAGAATTCACTTGTAACGGTTTATAGTGATCGCTTAGTGTGGAAACATGTATCTGTTTCTCATGTAGATTACTTCGCAGCATGCCGGTAGTGATAAAGGAGGGTGTGGATGGCTCCAGCGTAGGCACTCGAACAGCAGGGGGCGGAGACACACGCGGAATTTTATCATGTGCAATCATTTACGTATTCCTTCTCTCTCTCTCTCTCTCTCTCTCTCTCTCTCTCTCTCTCTTTTTCTCTCTCTTTTTCTTTCTTTCTCTCTCTTACTATTCTATCACCAGCAAATTCCAATACCAGCACTATTGTTACTAACAATTAGTAATACTATTGATATTAGTACAACCCCTCAACCTACTTTTTATTTGTATGAACGACTGAAACGCGTTAAAAAGAAAAAAATAAATAAATAAATAAGAATAGAATCAAAAAAAAAAAGAAAGAAGGAAAATATGTTTTGGTTTTTTTTTTTTTTTTAAGAATAAAAAATTAATTCTCTTCTTCAGAAGCAGAAAAAACAGGGAGTCTTTTCAGTTTAACAAAGACGCCTCGCTCAATCAAGAGAAGAAGTGAAGACAAGAAGAATATATATATTTGTGTGTGTGCATGTGTATCGATAAGAACAATGAGATAAGAAAAAAAAAAGTGGGAGGGGGAGTCGCACTCCACACACATACAGACTAAGAGTCCTCTGATGTACAAAATAAAATAAAATAAAAAACCTATAATTGACGCCATATAACGATAATTTTTCCCTCTTCACATCGTCCTTTTTCCCTCTTGAAACCTCCTTAAATACCCACTGATAGTATGACTCCCTCCCGTTATTCGGTTTTCTCACGACATGGTGTGAAGCATAAAAGAGTTCACAAAGGAGATAAAAAGGGAAAATCAAGAAAGTGAAAAAGAGAAAACAAAGAAAAAAAAAACATAAAAAAAAAGAGTAGAAAGATAAAATGTGAAGGAACATGAATATCTAAACATGGGGAAGTGTTATGAACAGATATAGGGAGTCCATCCACCAGACATCATCCCTGATATTACTCTCCTCGGCAATGACTATTATTATCATCATAATCCTCAATAATAGGGATATATATATACCCAAACTGTATTTCTTTCGAAGGGTTATTGTCTTTATTCATTTTGGAAAAACTCATCTCAAGAGTGAAGATTTTAGTAACATCAAATGCGATAAATAGATTTTTATCCAATATTTCTATCACTCAAGACTGTAATATCTATACAAAAAAAAAAAAAACTTTTTTTTTCTACTTTTTTTTGTTACTTTTTTTTTTTTTTTGCACATTGGTTCATGGTTTTATTCTTGCCTGTATTGAATTGAATGCTACTATGAGGCAAAATCACCAACAGCACCAAAGTTATGAGATCGCAGATAAAGTAAAACGTTATTTAGCGCCTCATACCATGCATCAGCTTTTGCACGCCTTTCTGTTGCCAACTGTAGTACACGTTTTGCTGTTTCCACCAATAAAACATAATAGGTTTGAGGGACACCATCATCATTTGGTTGCTGCAGTTCCCGAGAAGTTATTTGAATAATTTTCTCAAGCTTCATAGTACCAGCGAAGGCAGGTTCGTATGTTTCCTTATGTGCCCAAAGAAGAACATGACTTCGTGTACCCAGCCATACCCACCTCGGAGATACGGAGGTCCCTTTACCATTCCACTTATAGAACCAATCTCCAGAGGCCAAAATAGAAACACTTGTACGAAGATCCATAGTTGTTCTAGTACCTGGTAATCCGACCACATCACGGTTTGGACTCATAGAAGCATTACGTTCCTGATTAGAATGTGAAAAAACTTGAGGAGGCAAAGGATCGGGTAATTGAGGGAGATATGGGGAACCAACAGAGCCTTCTCTTGGGGCATAAATTACAGATCCAGTAGCTTTTCTGTCCCGTTCATCAGGAAATTTATACGGATCCCTATTTCTTTCACTTTGACTTGGCCTCTGGAATGAAGATTGGTATCCACCCATGGAAGCATTCCTCCCATAATTTTGTGAAGCTCCACTAAAGATTCCATGAGAGTTCATTCCAGAAGCATAGTCACTGCGAGATCTATTGCGACGTTCGTAGGGTCGTGAACTGCTGTCTCTCCTGCTGGTTTGTATATAATTACTGCGTGATGGTGTTCTTCTTCCACCACGTGAACCACCTTCACGTCCCCGTGATGAAGAAAAAAAAGAATTCTCAGAAGAGCTATACGTTAGTAATGGCACAGTTCGACGAGGCGACATACTGCCGGAAAAGGTATTATTATTTCTTCCGCTGTAGGTATTTCTACCAGCTAAAGAAGGGGATTTTCTAGATGGACGTCCACCAGGACGTGAGTTATCTGAATCCCTACGACGATTTCCTCCTTCCAAGTTTCCAAACCTTCTATTATCACGTTGTGTAGGATGGTGATTGGCTGATGAGGAATTACTTTCAAAGCGACTACCATTTTCTCTACCTGAGTCACCGTGGGAATTTCCATTTCCCATGTTTCTTAATCTATCGTTAAAAGTTCCCTCTGCAGCGTCTTGAGTTACCTGTCGAGAATCAATAGAGCGTGCGGCTTCATCCGCCATGCCGTAATCTGACATTCCCCGCGGGTTAGGACTCAAATCAGACTTCATTAGTAATGCGTCCACCTTCTCTGGTATTTCTAATTCTTGGGTTTGTGTGGCTGTGGAGGCGCCACGGCGAGGGGTTTGTGTGCCGAGCACCCCACGTCTTCGGCGATTCTCCAGGATTCGCTCCAGGTGAGCTTGATGAAGTGAATCCATACCTCCTTAATATACTTTAGATCAAGATAGTTTTGTTTTGTTTTTGTTTTTTATTTTTATTATTTTTAAGGAGAGAAGGAGGAAAAGACATGAGAATATTGCTTTGTACATCATAATAATATTTATAAATTTTCTCTCCTTACAAGAAGACAAATACAGAATTTTTTTTTTCAATGAAGCTGTAGAATAAAAAAAAATAAAGGAAACAAAGAATAAAATAAAAAATAAAATAAAATTATTTCATCTCTTTTGGGCAAATGAAGGTTCATCTGCTAATCCATGAAAAAGATCAAAGTCTTCATCGGATTCCTGCATTTTCTCTTGTTCAGTTTTACTTTCTCCCGCAGATTTCTTTTCTTGACGTGGTATCACCTTATCCCCACGTTGAATACCAGTATTTGTTCCTGGTATAGTCCAGTAGGGTTCCATATCGTTAGCCGCGCAGGGGGCACGGAACTCCTCTGGAACCTGAAAAGCATCCACAAGATTCACACACTGTGGTGCCAAAACCGTAACGAGATTATCAATGTGAGATCCTAGAATGAAAGACTTCCCAGGAGTTATCATCTGATGTGCCAAAATATAATCCAAGCGATCTTGTTGTCGCGCAAGCGCAAAAATCCACCCAATATCTCTCAATATTTTTCTTCCTCTCGGGTCAGTACATGCTTGAGTTTCATCCATCATAATCTCCATAGAGTGCATTTCCATGTATGCCTCACCACAGTGAAGTACCTCTTGGTGTCTAAACATCACCCAATCATACCACTGATGCTCTGATCCACCTTTTCGACGTTCAATCTCACGTGACTGTCGTAACTGCTTTTTAGCTCGATAATGTTTGTGACTAAAGAACATTAAATGTCTCCCAAGATCTGCAACTCGGGGAGAGTAAAAAGGATTCTTGACAAACCTGTCAACTGAATTAAATGGTTCTAATATGTTTGAAAGCCACCATCCCCAGTGACTGGTACCAATATTTTTTGTAACAGATCTAAATGCAACTTCACGTATTAGTGATGACTGATCTACTCCTTCTTGACGTAAATGTACTACTGCAATACTTTCACTATTTCCCGTACTTCCTAGAGATGCATGAACTCCCATAAAACTATCTGCAAACCAGTGTAACTCTAAAAGACTTTCTTGTAAGAAGTGAATAGTTCCTGCTAATATCATTTCATCTTCATATTTTGGTTGTTTCATTTTTAAATTTGTAAATGATGGTAGTATTCGTCTCCAATTTGTTAAATAAACATAGGATTTAACCAATATTTTTACTAGAGGTGTTTGTACATGTTGTACACCAAAAAATGGATAATTACGTTGTCCATCTGGACCCACAATATATTTTTGTGCAATAAAATGAACAACATTTGTTAATAACTTCTTAAGTGTACCAGCATAAATTGCCGAAGTAGCTAATCGCATTTGTAATGTTAATGCCTGAATTGATGTTAGAGTATTAACATCCCCTATTGTTGAAAATTTTCCATTTACTATTTGAGATGGAAGTAACATCGAAGTAACGGGTAGATGAATGTTGTCAAAGTGAATAACACCAACTCCACTCGCACTCATTGTTGGGTGTTCCCCCTGTATAGGTCTAATACTCACACCTTTCCTTAAAATACCTTTCTCCCTTAGATTCACTACAAATACTTGAGGACCGTGGTTGTCTTGTTTGTTAAGAGTAAGAGTTGCTGTAACAATAACCCAATCTGCGCCAGTTGCTGAAACCACTGCAAATTTTCCTGTTCCTCTTAAAATAAAACAATTTTCTTTCTGGTCATAACGTGCTTCTGTATTTAGTGGTACCCCTTCTGCAATAAGCTCTCTATGTGCAATAGAACCAATAATACTACAATTATCGATACCATCTAGCACTTTTTCTTGTATTTCTTTGGTTCCATGAATTGCTATCATTGCAGCAAATGTAAAATGATCTGCAGCAACAAGAGCCAGTGCAGTATTGCACATGGCCACGGTTTCAAAGAAAGCAGAAAAAAGCTGAGGAGTAGATTTCACTTGCGCAAATGAAAGTAATCGTTTTTTGGCAAGAGATCGAAGAAGTTGAACTGTGTGATTTGAAGTGTTATCCTTTACCCATGATTCATCAGAGCGGTAAACAAAACATGAAGGTCTTGGGGCCATCACTTCCAAGAGAGCAGCTCGAACCTCTTCTTTATAATCTATATCCAAACCTTCACAAATAAAACGAAATGTTGGTTCTTCAAATGCGTGTTCCATGCTGTAGAGTGGTTTTGATGGATTCAGCTCTATCTGAAGAGGAAGAGATCGATGAAATTGTCGACATCGTAAACCCCTTACAATAGCAGTACCATAACTGGTAAAGATTACGTTACTATGGGGAAAGCGACGCACGATAGATCGTGAAACACTATGAAGAATCACTCCAAAAGTCATTCACTTCAAATGTTTAATGTCTATGCAGAAAAACAATTAAGAATGGTTTTGTACATGCTGTTGTTATTGTTTTTATCATTATTGTTGTTGTTGTTTTTACGTGTGTGCGTGTTTGTAAAGAGAGAGAGAGAGAGAGAAAAAAAAAGGAGAGAGAGAGTGTGTGTGCGTAGAAAACAAAAAACAAAAACCTAAAAATCCTGACAAGTGCATACGTTCTTATTTTTATTTTTCTTCTAATACCTTGATCATATGGTTAACACTATATCACAGGAGGTTCATTAGTAATTGAAGAAATAATCATGCGACTACTCCCATCAAACTCGAATGGATTGTCCAACGGATTAGGTGAAATAAAAGGGATGTAGCACTATCAGCTCTTCTCTTTCTCTTTGTCTTATTTCTCTCTCACTCTTTTTTTTTCAGTTTTTCTCGTTTGTTTGTTTGTTTGTTTTTTTCTTTCTTTCTTCTTTTTCTTCTGCCCTCTCTTCTTTTCTTTCTTCCATTGGTATCTTTGCTTCCCTCTCAAGTGTGGGAGGGAAAAGACGGCGTCGAGCTTTGTTTTCTTTGTTTTTTTTTTTTTTCGTTTCCTTCCAACTTCATCATCATCTTCTTCTCATTCTCCCTAATATCCTCTTCATCTCACTCAGTTTGGATCCATCTCATACCATTCAGAGTTACCCACCCAGTCCTCTGATGCCATGCGTGGGTTAGATACCGACAAATCAGCTTTTGTGGCATTATGTGGACGACGCTGGACCACAGGAAGCTGTTTAGGCGGTTGTATTTGTTTTGTAGTGGTACGACCTCCAATCAACTGAACCGAATTGGCAGCAATAACAACCAAACCTGCGTTTTCTTTAACACTACGTACACGTACAAAGAGTGTGGCGCCAAACAACTGCTCCACACGACCTGTTTGACCTATAAGGTGATAAGGTGTATTTGGACCATTTTGAATAATTACTTCTGACCCACGGGTTATAGTATTGTTCATTCGATCTGCTGTACGACGTGATCCTGTGACTGCAGATTTTATTTGCATTGGGGATAAGTAACGCGTTTCACTTCGGTCTGTCAAGACACAGATATCGTTACGGTTAAGACGTACAATACAAGCCACAGAAGAAGAATCAGATAACATTACCAAATCAAAGAGTTTCCAAGAACCAGAAGTATGTCCAAAGGAGCCAACCAATTGACTTTGGTGACAATCACTGGCCCGCACCGCAAGCTCACGTGTAGCAGTGGCACGATCAGAAAATATGTAAACAATATCACCTGTTGCCTTAACCACTGTACCACTTTCACCAGCGTGGTCACCACCATCGACAATAACATGTGTACCCTCTACAAAATATTTCACACAAGAGGCGAGTTCAACACGAACCTTTATTGGTTCTTTTCTTCCAGGGACTCGACATGATAAAGCAACTGTATTAGTGTCTAGAAATATATTCTCAATGGTGCCCACTGTCTCACGCAACTGACCGGATGCCACCCGCACTGTATCACCAATACGTAAATCTGAACCCCTAGGGATTTCCAAAGAGAGTTTTGCAACAGCCTCACGTACACGGTCTCGGTCACTGTTGAAAAATATAGCTAACTCCTCTACCGTTGGTTTTTCCATTTGTGGACCACAAATAACCATACGTGAGGAGACTGTCTTGAGAAGGTAGCCATCTTTATCAAATGTCAAATCACCCCAACGGTATAAATCTCCACGATCTTGTACGTGAATCGCCAAGTTTGGGACAAAAAATCTAGGCGGTAAACGCATTTCAGGTTTATTAAATGGTTTTCCAATAAAATCTTCACGAGGTACTACCTTTACAGTTATTTGGTGATTGCTAGAATCAATTTCAACCACTTGTGCAAGATCAAGACGGTACTGACGTTGACGCAGTCGAACAAATGAGCCGACACGCAATTTCTCAGAAGAAGGTCTTTGCTCCATCATTTGCATTAACTCAGAAGGATTCACAAGGGTAATGTTATAGCGAAAGAGTCCATCCAATCCATTCAAGGCATTTTCAACAAATACCTTCCTGTGAGCCTCAACATAGATATATTCCTTCACATGATCTAGGCAAAAGACTGAAATGATACCCAAGTCTACTTTACGATGTTCATAGTTGCGTCCGATTCGGTATGCGTAGCACTTATTGACAATTCGAGCCACAAGTAAACGCGCCATACGAGGACGACATTTCACTGCAAAGACTTTTGGGTCAGTGTCTTGTGGGAGCAAATGCGATGCATACCGTAATGATGATAACTTTCCCTTAGCAAGACCTTCAGAAAGAAGCGCCTCTGTACGTCCTCCTTTATTCTTTTTGTTCGCACGGTGTCTTTCCTCAATGGCTCGAGCCAGTTCCTCACTTGTCATGTTCTCCTCACCCTCACGAAAGATGTGCGTCTTACGTGGTTCATCTGAAAGCATCGTACCATCATACACTTCACTTTCATCATCTTCATCACTCCCAACAATGAATCCATCATCTTCAGATTCTGAGTCTCCACTCTCAGCTGCATCAATAACATACTTGGAGCGTTTTCGGGGAGATTCCTCCTCCTCCTCCTCATCATCATCATCATCATCATCATTATTATCATATTCCTCCTCATCATTAGACTTGTGTTTGTGTTTTAAGATGTCACGCGAGCGCTTCTTCTTTTTCTTTTTCTTACTGTGTTGCACGTCTCCAAACGTATTTTCGTTTGTTTCTGCAGTTGAAGGAAACATTGGAACTGTTGTATCGGCCATTGCTGTTACATCGAGCAGCTCATCTTCCCCGAGGAGATCGGCAAGCTCATTTACATTGAGTTCTTCCGTCATGCCTACACAGCTATAAGAGAAAAAATTATGAAGGAAACAGTAAATTAAAGAGTTTATTCATTATTTCCAAATATACTTTTTTTCTTTTTGTTACTTATTTTTTCTTTGTTTTTTTTTTTTTTTTCTTAATTGGATAAGAACATCAAAACTTACATTTGCATATTGTGCAACGGAAATTCTACTGAACCTTATAACGTACATCATTCATCTACCACTTTGTAGAGACACAGACACAAGCACGAATACAGATACAAACACAGAAAGTATTCTTTCCTTCTTCCTCAACCTTCATTATATACAAAGGGAGATGAGGGGGTGGGGGGTTCAATAACCTACACCCTGTATTATCACAACTTGTTTCATGGGTTCATTCATTTCACAGCAACATAAAAAAAAAGAACATTACAAGCTAATCTCAGCTAATAGATTCACTCCACGACCTTGATAGAATTTACCTACCCAATGTCTTCCTTCAGCATCAACGTAGGTGCCAAGACCGTGCATCTTGTTATTTTCCCATTGTCCTTCATAGTAAGAACCATCAGGCCATGTGTATTTACCAGTTCCATAAAAACTGTTGATGTATATACCTCCTGTATATATAGCTCCACTTGGAAATTGAATTACTCCCTCACCGCACATATTTCCCTCTGACCATCCACCATCATAAATTGCTCCACCGGCATCTTTGAAAATACCTTTGCCGTGCTGAAATGGATATAACACGGGAGGTTCCAACTGCTGCTGTCCACGTGCTGGGGAACTGGGAACGGGAACTGGTGCTCCATGAGGAATCTCTAAAGTTCCTTCGCGATGACATATCTTTCCTTCATACACACTACCATCAGCGTATTGAAAGGTACCGAACTCCTCTTCCTCTCGAACCTCATCTTTTTTCTTTTTCGCACGATCGCTCTCCTTTTGCATCACTATGATTTTATGTAAGTGTAAATATATGTGTACAATTAATACCTCGGTACCTGTATGTGCAGTTTCGAACGCTAATACCCAAAGCAATTATTCAAACCATTTTTAAAATGTGTGTGTGTGTGTGTGTTTTTTTTTTTTTTAAGAGAGAATAAGGAAGGAGAAAAAAAAAACCATATATAAGGGCAGAAAGGGACGAAAACTGCTAAAAAAAAAAAAAGGATTTTGAAAAGAAAAAATATCGATCCACTCAAACTTACCTTTTAATAGGTTTCTTTTATTTGCGTAATAATATTCTTCAGAAACACAAGCTCCACCGTTTACTTGTCATTGCAACGGCTATCTTCAGTGTTAAATAATACATATTTTTGCTTCCCTATTGCATTTGTCATTGATTATATGTATTTTTTTTTTTTTTTGCATCATAATATTGGATTATGATCCCTAGTTAAATCTAACAAAGGTGGTATGTGTACTCAGTCGGAGGCGGAAGAGAAAAACTAATAAAACAAAACTGAAAAACATATGCACAACGAAAATCATAGAAACAAATGGAAAAATAAAGAGAAAGGCAACAGAAGGCCATAATGCTAAATGGATTGCTACAGCAGTAGAAACCCGTCCTCTCCTCAAAATAAGTCCTATTACCACGACATCAGGAGCAATTACCAATAAGCAACTAGTTGCGATTAAGGCTGGGCTCGTTGGCACAGTAGTCACACCAGCAGCTGCAATCGCAATATCAGCCAATAAAATAGCAAAGGGTAAGACAAATATAGTATGTAAAGGTTGAGGAAGAGTAGTGGCAACCACTAAAGGAGGTCCCTTCTTCGTATGTGAGGAAACACCAGAAGTGGATACAGTTTCACGACAGTTAAGAGATGGATCTAGAGGTACAACAGGTGTCTTAGTTGAGACATCTGCCGAACCAGGAAACACTTTTACTTTGCGATCAGATGTTTGTGGTATTGAAACCTTTGCAGCTACATATCTGGGAGCCAACATATCTCCCTTTTCTTCTTTTGCATCGTAGAGAATAATGGGAACATCATCAGGGGGTGTTACATCTTCAAACAAACCTCCTTCACCTGAGTTGTTATAGTCCTGATAAAAAGGTCTCCAACGGTAAGTTCCTACGACACACCACTCTTCTTCACCAAGCATTCCTGCGTAATCAAGATATTCCTTTTTTTTTTTTTTTTTGATGGAGACGGTTCCCTTTAAAGAAAAACGAAAAAAAAAAATAAATAAATAAGAATAAAAAGAAAATAAATAATAATAAACACTAAATGTTAAAAAAATAAAAAATAAAAAATAAAATAAATAAATAAATAAAAGAATTTTAAATAAGTTAAAAATATATTTGTCAAATTTAGAAAAAAAAAAATTCATCTACTATCATAAAGAGATAGCAGCCTTTGGCTTGTCAGAACGGAGACATTGCACACCTCCATAGGGAAATAAATATAAGATGAAAAGGTTCGCCAAAAGAGCAAAAAGCCTCACATCGTAATAATCCATAGAACCGTTTTTCTCCCACACGTATTTCACAGTTTTCAAACATTTCGGTAGTTGATTCATAGAGAAAAATAAAAAATGAGAAACACTCACTTTTCATTAGGTTAAGGTAGATCTAGGGGCGGTACCAAATTTGCATTCTACTTTTTTCAAAAAAAGACTTTTAAACTGAAGAATAATAACAGTCATATTGTCCGTTCCTGCCCCAGTTGATACCCTCGATAAGCAAGTATCCATTAACCGCTCACAAGCTAAGGAGAGGTCACTATGCTCTGCTACTTCATTTCGAACAATATCAACAGCTTTTTGACTGGATACTATGTCCCATATACCATCACAGGCAATAATTACAAATTCATCTTGTGGAGTTAATTCAATATGAGCTACATCAGGATTTACAGTTACTGCTTGTTCTTCAGGAGGTAAATCGCCACATTTGAATGCAAAATCACCAAAAGCACGACTTAATGACAATATACCATTTACACGACCATTTTGAACATGCCCCCCAGCTTTCATAATGCGTTCCATTTCTTTCGGTAAATTTGGTTTGTGATCTTCACTTAATGCAAAAGCAATGCCATCTCTACATAACACTGCACGAGAATCACCAACGTTACCACAGTAAAGATGATTTTGAACTAATATCACGCAATTTCCTGTAGATCCACTAGGTTCATGTGGTGAACTTTTCAACATTGCCGCATCTCCTGCAATAAACCCGTCACGAATAGCTTTTACTATATTTCCTTCTTTAAATGAATCCATCGATGTAATCCACTCCAAGATGTGCGTAGCGGCAGTTTGAGACATTTTACTTCCACAATGTCCATCAAAAACTGCTGCCAAAGCTCCATCTTCAGCAGCCATATGAGATGGTAATCTTGGTAAAGAAAGATGAATAGTATGAGCATCCTCCATTGTACTTCTCCATCCTTGCATACTGCTAGCACCAACCCGGAGTTTATCATCTTCCATCAAAATGGAATACTTGTCTCTAACGGGTGTGTACAATATTGTCTGTGTATTGCCACGAAGTGGCGTAAAGGGCCTCATTTATACTATTTACCCTCCCCACCTAAAATTATTAACACAAAAATAGTGGGAAGGATGGGGGGGGGGGAAAAAAAAACTGAATCTAGGATGTTCACATGAGGAAAGTAGAAGTTAGAAGAGCAAAAAATAAAAGAAAACAGATAAACAACAAAACAAAAAAAAATAATAATAATACATATAGACACACACAGAGAGATACAAAAGCTTTAATTAATAAAGTTTAATTTCGTATACAAAACAATTAAATACCTTTTTTTCACCTTTCACTCTAGGCTTCAGTCAGAGTGAAATAATTCTTACTCCTTCTCTATTATTAGTAATATTAAATCTTTGTTTTTCTTATTTTTTACCTCCCTTCGCAGCGTTGAATTTGAAGAAGATGATATCACCATCTTGAACTTCATAATTACGTCCTTCTTGATGCTGTTTTCCAGCCTCACGGCATGCAGCTTCACTTTCCAAATTATCATAGTCTTCCCAGTGAATCACCTCTGCACAGATAAATCCCTTCTCCATATCAGTGTGGATCTTACCAGCTGCTTGTGGTGCTTTCGTACCTCGCTGAATTGTCCAGCATTTCACTTCATCCGAACCAGCAGTAAAAAAATGAATCAAATTAATAGCATGATATGCTGTTGTAATTACCTTATGTACTTGTGATTTGGTCTTATTGGTATTGCAAAACTCTTCCACTTCTTCTGGTGACATATTAAGAAAATTTGATTCCAACTCTGCTGATATCGGGATAAGAGGCTCACCAGTATGTTGGTCGATCCATTCCTTCAATTTAGGAAGCCACTTGCTTTTTTGCCGGAGAAAATCTTTCTCAGACATATTGGCCAAGAAGACAGCCGGTTTGGCTGTTAAAAGTTGCAAAGTATTGAGATAATCAATCTCTTTACCGTTCCATTGGCAACACCGAACTTGTTCTCCATTTTCAAGGTGCTCTTTTACCTTCCCAAGAATCTCTAAATCACTTTTTTTGCTCTTGTCTAGGCCACGATTTACTATAGGTGTCAGCTTATCAATTAGCCCATTGACAACCTGTAGATCTTTCATAACCAATTCTGAGAAGATAATATCCAAGTCACGCACAGGGTCCAAATCACCTTCCACGTGAGTAATTTCTGTTTCTTCAAAAACGCGAATCATATGAATGATACCGTCACACTCATTAATGTGAGATAAAAAGGCGTTACCAAGACCTTCTCCATTGCTAGCCCCACGAACCAAGCCAGCAATATCCCGAATATGAATCTGAGCAGGAACAACCGAAGCAGGTTTATTGATCCTTACCAATTTATCAAACCGTTCATCAGGAATGTTGATGTCGGCAGTGTTTGGATCAATCGTACAAAAAGGTCGATTTTCTGCGGGAACACTCTTTTTAGAGAGAACATTGAAGAAGGTTGACTTACCAACATTTGGAAGTCCAACAATGCCAACTTTTAGGTTGCTTCCCGGTCGACCCAGGAGAACTGTGCGTGACTGTTGTGACTTATCATCCTTCTTCTTGGGAGGCATAGTTTTCCTTTTTCTTTAGATATTTCTTTTATTACTCACTCAAAGAGAAAGGGATTAGAAAAAAAAAAAATGATAATAATAATAATAACAGTAATAATGATAAAAGAAACTCGTTAATCACTAGGAAAAGTCCACGTAGAGAAAAAAAAAAAAAATAGACCTTCATTCTATTACCTCTACAAACCATGGAAAATATGAAAAGTAAAATACTCCCTACTTGAGAGAATTCAAAGATAAAACAAAGCATTTGACATTCTTACTACACCTCCTTCCCCCTCTTCCTCTCCATCCTCTTCTTCCCCTTCCTCTTCTTCTTTTTCTTCTTCTTCTTCTTCTTCTTCTTCACGGGTATTAACATCTCTGACATCACCAGAAGATGGACATTCTACATCTTTCACCTCATCTGAGTGGTAATGACAAGCACAGCGATTGGGTTGTATCAAACGTTTAAGTTCCTCTAGTTCTCGCTCCTTTGAGGAAATAATTATTTCATTTTCTACTAGGGCATCCTTGAAAACAGTGATATTATCCGTTGGGTCACACACCTCAACATCATGACCACTTGGAGAAGGAGGTCTTTCAGAAATTCCGAGAGACCCTTTATTTTTAATATACTCTCGGATCTCATCATTGGTCTCCTTTAACTTATTAATGTGGTTTTGCATGACCTCTATATCATGAAGAATAATCTCAATCTGGACATTACCGGCGTCAGCCCCAACTAATTTCTTTTCCACAGCAGTTGTGCGACGAAGCATGTATACACCTGGGAGAACCATTTCACCCCAGTCATTCCTAGGCTGTTGACTCATATTCTTTATCCTTTCAAGAAAAACCAAGAATAAAAATGGATACGTTTTTTTTTTTTTTTTTTTTTTTTTTTGTACTTTCCTACCTCCAATTTAGCAAACGATGATTGAAACTTGGCATTTTCAAGAATGAGAATAAATGTAGAAAATACAAAAAGCTTCTAAAAATCCCTCTGCTACCTTTTATTTTTATTTCCATTCCTTTATTCGAAAAAGCAAAGACACGCCATCCATAGTATTTTTAAGTGCCGCAGCACATTCTGTAAACGGGACACTGTAATCACAACGCATCTCATCAAATGGAGGAATAGGATTCATAATATCTCCATTCTTTGGTTTATTTTCGCTACTTGCACTATCCAAGGTAAGACTTTTCCCCACTTCCGAAATGAGTTTCAAAAAGCTGTCGTGTGAATTTTCACAAAGTGTCAATTTAGAAAGGTAGGCATTGGAAAGTAATGTAAATCGCAAGGTATAAACAATGGCTTGTAGAAACTCATTTTTATCATGATGTTGCGTATATCGATGATGCAAATATTGGGCAAAAAATACCTCAGAAACTCCTAGAAGTTCCAACTTCTCTTCAATAACACCACTCAGGGCATTATGAGCAATGTGTAATGCTTTCTCACATATTTTCACAACAGAACTGTGTGCAACCGGATCGTAAACAGGTATTAACACAGTGGCCACATCTTTCTTCCCATATAACCAAATGCGTTCATCATCCAAAACCGAAACCTTTTGAACAAATCCAAGAAGAATTCTAGTATTCCGAATTCCCATATCTCCAGAGTTCATAGATAAAAGAAACTCAGAAAAACTATGAAACGGAGTAGCACCTGTCACCAATTCCACCATATGAGTGTAATTCAATGAAAGGCGTTCCAAAGGAACTATACCCAAGTCAAAGAGAGATTCTTTCACTTCAGTATCTAATAATCTTTGAGAGGCCACAAAAACAATATTCAGAGTTTGTAATAAACTCAAAAATGTTTCCAATTCTTTGCCTCTTATCTTAAGAGAGCATGAAAAAAGCAATAAATTACCCCCATGGTTATTAGAATTAAACAATAGTAGTTTTGCCTCAATACTTAATGATATACAAATCAAGACAGCGTTATCAACTATCAACGGTTCATCTAAATATTTTCTGTATAGTCCAAAGCAACTATCAATCTTTTCACCATGTGGGTCAATGGCAAGAAAAAATAATTTCTTCTGCTGAAGCGTAGCTGTCACCAGATATCTAGCAAGGCTAGAACAACACTTTTTTATAAGCAGATTATTTTCACTCAAAATAGACTCCATAACCTGTAAAATACTCAATTCGTGTGCTAATTCTCTTAAAGGGGATACATTTAAAAAGACAAAAGCCTCGTTTATCCAGTGTTTCACACAGGAAAGCGCGTGCACCATAATTCGGCGAGTAATTAAAGAAGGTTTCAATTCGTTACAGAGATTTCTTAAGGTAGAAAAAAGTCTGCATGACAGAAGAACTACCAGAAAATTAGATGCTTCTTTGACGCGAGAAGGTGTAACTGGACTGCAGAGTAAAATACAAGAAATAGATACAGATGAACCTTCTGGTGTCTCTCTAGCAGTCCCTGTTGCAGAATCTCTGATGGCAGAAATAATCTCAGAAGAAGAAATACAAAGGTCACCCGATTCATCTAAAAACAAAGGCCTCCCTTGAACACATATACTCCTGTAGCACTTTTCCACTAAATATAGTAATTTACTGCTCTCCATGATTTCTTAAAAGAATCATTTCCTTTTCAGGAAAAAAAAAGAATTCAACAAACCAAGATCTCTCACCAAAAAGGAAAGGGGTGTTTAAAAACTCTTCCATAGAACGAGAAAACATGAAAAAGCAAAAAAAAAGACACCCACCCATCTCAGTGACCATGAAGAAATAAAATGGGCAATAAAATACGGATGGGAAATAGCAAGAGAGAATTTATCCAAAAACTTTTTTAATTATTACTAAAAAAAAAATGAGTAAAAAATAAAAAAAAAATAATAATAATAATAATAATAATACAAGAAGAAAAAAAAAAACGGAATATTAAATAGAAGCTCAAAAAGAAAAAAGTTTATTTCTTACGCTAATTAGAAGAGAATGACAAAGGATAAAACTCATCTATACCTTTAAAAGCGTAGTTTAGGCTTCCTTCGATCAAAACAAAATAAAGTTCTTTCTTACCCTTAAGATAGTTTATTTGGAGAAATGTCATATTATACGCGGTTCAGCAGTCCCGTTTTTAATCCTCAATTGACAGTAAAGACTCCATCCATTGCATCTACAGAAGTGGTAAAAAGGTAAATTGAGATACTCGGAGCAATCCCTGCAACACACCATGGGTAGTTAAGGTTCCCCTCCAACGAATGTCATAAGAATTGGCGCTCGATATTTACTGGCATTTGTCTTTGGATAGAGCTGTGATTTTTAACGGAGTGGTTTCTGTCCACGAACCGCTGCCATTTCCACTTTCCTCTCCCACACAACATTTCGGGGACAAGATTCTATGTCAAAGGGACCCCTGACAACGTAGCGGACCATCCCTTTCGCGGCAACGAAGTCCTTCTCACTTTTCTGAGCGACAACAAAAACCCGCGAACCGAAAAACAAGGAAGACCAAAAACAAAAGAACCTTTTACCGAGGGAAAAAAAACCCTGGCATTCCCAGGGACCGAATTCGGGCAGCCCGACGGCACAAATTTTAACCGACAACTCTCGGAAAACGGCGGAGCAACTGGAACCTCAATTCCCGTTCCGGAGAAAAGAGGTTCTTCAACGCACCCCCTCCCCGCAACGACGCCCCAGCGAACGACACCAACCCCCCAATGCAGGACGGAAAGAACCGTGGAAACCAACAAAAGCACCCCCAGGAAAAGAAATTTTCAACGACCGCCCCGCCATAACAAAACCTTTAACCAATGGGGCCGCTCCATCTCGGCGGGGGGGTGGGAAAAGGTCGAGGGGCCGCTCCACGGAACCATTCCCCCCAAAAAAAAAGGACGGATACAGCTTCCTTTGCTGCAAACGTTATTCGTGAAATTCCCATTATATTTTTTGACCGAGCGAAAACTGAACCATTCCCTTCAAACACAAGACGCCGAGAGGGGAACAAGATCCTCGCAAAAGGACGAAAAGAGAGAACGCACACACACCCAAAAAGCAAACGAAGTGTTTTTTTACACAAAATGTCACAACATAAACGGATATTTCCTACAGAAAAGAACCACCACAGAAACTCGAGAGAATCTTATCCCTTCGCAAAACCCGCGCAATAGACCAAAAGACGGCAAAACGAGAAACTAAAAGGCTTCTCGGGAAAATGGAACCAAAGAACGTCAAACCCCATTGCTTGCATTGCCCCTGCTGGCCGGGACGCCGCCGCCGCCAAACTGCCAGAGGGGAGAAACCCGAACCGGTCGACGGCGCGGGCTTGCCCCATGCTCCTCTTTCCCGTCCCGCGGGCAAAGACCCCGGGCCGCGCGAACCCCGCCACGAAGTGAAAAAAGAGAAGTTTGGTTTTTGGAGTCCTCTGTACATTGGCCATCGGCAGAACCACGTGGGGTGTCGAAGTCCGTGTGGCTCAATGGAAGAGCATCTGACTACGGATCAGAGGGTTGCAGGTTCGAGTCCTGTCACGGATGTTTTTCGTTCACAGAAAAATCCGTCCTTCATTGGTGGTTTTTTTTTTTGTTTTTTTTTTTTTTTTTTTTGGCCTTCCGGGGGGAAGCGCGGGCATCCGAGGTCCTTCAGCAGCCATTCTGCATTACGAAATCAAGGGGCCGACACGACCCGCATGCTAAACGCCAAAGCAACATCTAAGGGAATGGGCGGAAGAACAACCGCGGCCTGGTTTGCTGTTGTTTTTCTTTTCTCTTGCGCAAGCAAAGAACCCCAACAGCCGTTGCCAGGCACCGCCCCCGCCGCGCGAGCGGCATCGGGGGGAACCTTGCCTAATCCCAATCCTTTTTTTTTTTTTTCAAACACCCGCAGCGGGAGAAAGGGTTAAGGGCGTTTCACCCGGCCCAGCCCCGCGCGGCGGGCCACGCCTCGCCAATTACGGCGGCGTTGGGGTAGGGAAACGGGGAAAAACAAGGCCCAAAAACCAACAAACCAATAGCCAAACGAGCCCCCACCGCCACAGCGCGCGGAAACCAACCTGGAGGAGCCCGCGGCTGCCCGAAGCACCGTCGCGGCATTTCCCCGCGCTACGGAAGGGCGGGCGCACCCCGGGAGACAAGTCCCCTCAGGCTTCCTCTAAGGGAGGCGCTTTGGGGAAGCCACAGGCGTGCCCGTTCGCGTTGGGAGTGTTGGCTGGCCCCGCTGGGGTTCCCCCGGCCGTCTCTTTGGGCGGGCGGGTGGCGCGCATCAGAGGAGCAATCGCGGCGGCGGATGCCGCCGCTTTCTGGGAGCCCCGGGGCTCTTGCCCCATTAAACCTCCTGCGGCGTGCCGTTGGCATTTCTCTGTGGGCAAATGGCCGCGCCCACGCCGTGCATTGTTTCTTTCTTGGGTTGTTCTGTTTGGTTTGGGGCCTTTCCCCACACACACAAAAGCACGTGGGCAGAGGGTTGCTTGCCCCATGCCCCGCGTTGCGGTTGCCGCTTTTCTTTTGCGTTCCATTTGGGGCCCCGGACCCCGCGCAAGCGGGGAGACCAGCCGCACCGCCGCAGCAACAGAGGAATTAGTTTTCCGGCCACCCTATCAAGAATCGAACGGGCAGCATGTTATGCACCAAGACGGTGCTGAGCGTGGCGCGTGGTGAAATCTAGGCAACTCTTCAGAAAGAGCGCTTTCCCATTAGACTCAACTTGCCTGGTGCAAACGGCCGGGGGTGGGCAAATGTTTCCTTGCGCAAACGCAACGTTCCACTTCCCATAAAACCACAATCTATTTTTCATATGTGTGTGCTTTTTTGTTGTTGTTGTTGCCACCGATATCACGGAGCTATGAGTGCCTATTCGATTGTTTCTCGCGGCGTGAGCCTTCGGCATTTCACCTTTTTAACGGTATTGCGCCAGGAAGCTTCGCACGTCACGCCTGGCCCTGGTTCGGCGGGGTCAAGTAACGACTCACCCAGCTGAAAGTGCGGCTTTTATACTTGCTTCCGTGCGCTTTCCACCAGAACTATCCGTTCCACCCCTGAAGCTGGAGCTCCAGGAAAATGTTGAATGGCTGAATTTCATCAGCGGAGACGCCGTGGCGGAGGGGCCTTATTAGAACCGAAAACTCCTTCTAATTTTTCTTGCGTTGCTGTCGCGGGCCCAGGTTTTGATATACAGAACCTCGTGGAAAGGAGGGAACTTTCCACAAGATGCCCCTATTTCCGCGGGGTTTCTGGTAAAACACAGCGCTTTCTCGAGGCCGCCCCGCCCCCAGGCTGGGCGCAAGACCACCCCCCTAGAGCAACCGCGCGCCCCATGCCTTGCAGCCGACCGGTCCCAAAAAGGCCCCGCATTCCATCAGCCAATTGGTTTCCCGTAATTTTGGGCTTTTAAGAGCTGTGCGGGTGCGGGTTAAAAATGTTTTTGTGATCGGTTCTCTGCGGCGCGCTTGCCCGGGCGAGGCGCCGCGGGCTCCCAAAATATTGGGGAAGGAAACCTTTTTTCCCGCGCCCCACACGAAACTAAAAATCGAATTAAACCTTTTTCCCATATTCAGAATGCGACGTCTATTTTTCAGCGCTGTACGATCATGCATTTTTGCACTGGCGAAGCGTGTTTGCAAAAAAAAAGCTTTCCGCACGGCGCCGCAACGGAGACACGCGCACGCACACCCCCATGCGGGCAAACAGGTTTGCGTAAGCAATGGTTTCGTTTTTCTTTTTCAATAATATTTTTCTTATGCTTGTGAAAGCTGACACCCCCCGGACGATTTTGTAGACATTAAGAACCCCTAAAGCCTTTCCTTTTGTGAGATGGTTGCTTGTTGTGCGGCTTGCCGCGGCTGTGGCATGGATTTGTTCTTAAAAAGTGATGCCTGCAGATTTTTAATGAGCAACGACAATCCACAGCAGCACCCACCCACGCGAAAGAAACCAGCAACACCATCAGGGGCACCCCGCGCCTTTCACGAAATAAAGAAAAAAACGTTATTCCCCCCCCACCCCACCCCCCAGACTTGCCCAAACCCCAGGCGGGACCAGCGCTGGCGAACGAGAAAAAACCGCGCCCGCACGCGCGGCTTGCACGAACAACGCGTTTAAAACAGTATCTGGGGAAGTGTTGGGGTGTAAATTTATTTTGACCCTCTTTCCCCCCCCCCCCGACGGTGGGGGCGCGCGTCGGGCGTTTTGGTCACAGGATCGTTCTTGGCGCTTTGGGCCGCCATCCTCCCCAGCAGCGTGCTGCGCCAAGGTGGTGTTGCAATTGCTGCCGGTGGCCGCTTTCACCGCCCCGAAGGGCCGTCCCACATCGGATTTTTATCCCACAATTGCATCGGAGCCGCCGCGTATGATTAAATAGATATGCGTTTTGAAACCAGAAGCGGCGAACAGCGAATGGCCATTCAGAGCGCCTTGCCTTTCCCTTTTTAAAACTACTTCCTGGCGCTCTCCTGTGGCGTGATCGGGGTTGCGGTGAATCCTAAAGGGAAAAAAAAGGAAACCGAAGCCACGCTTCCTGGTAGGAAGAGGGGGTTCAACGGCGTGAAAATGAGATCGAAAAAGAGAATCTTCCTTATGTTGCTTGGCTTTGTCTTCCCCTTTTTGGATCGATGTGTGGAAAATAAAAAATGCGGCCTTTTATTTTTTACAAGGCAGCAATGTCTGAATTAGTCAGGAATCCTTTGGGGCGTTCGCCTGCGATCAAACGAATTTGATTTGCCCCTTTCCCCCACGTCAAGAAGAATAAGAGAAGTATAAAACAGAAATCAATTTATTTAAAGACTATGACCAGTAAGAAAAATATGCTATGTGTTCTTGGCCTTGTCTTATCCACTCGCCTCCTTATTATTTAGGACCATCTATATACTAATCCTGGGCAAGACGCTCGTTAAATTTATGGGGTGATTTCTTGCTTTTCTTTAAACCTTTCACTTGCTCCAAAATGAAAGCGCACCTAGTCCAAAGATCGTGCGCCAATCACACACCGCGACGCCAACAAGGAGCTGTCATGTGCACAGGCGTTGTCCTGAAGCCAGGGGGCTCTCCTGGGTTGTGACGGTTTTCAGGATTCACCAGCGGAAAAAGCCGAATCGCAGATGTTGTACCCCACCTGCCCCTTGGGGCAGCCGCGGGGGAAGGGGTACTGGCACCCAACGAATTTGCCTATGTGGCGGGGGGCGCGCCCTGGGGGTAAGGAGGCCCTTTCCGTTTCTACTTAACCCAGTTTTTGATTTTACGTTTCTTGTAATGCCATAAAACCTGGACTCTGAAAACACTTTCCAAAGAAAGGTGTTGTTATTCCAACCAGGTGGCGTAGGGAATATCTGAATTACAAAAGTTTCTCGCGGCATTCCTCCCTCTATCCATTTTTTCAGCTCCTTGAAGAATGCCTTCTCAGAGGCAAAACGTATTTAATACGAATCCTGGTGGCCGCAGAATCTTTGCGAGTGCGCGTTCCCCTTGCAAGAATGAAAAGGAAAGAAAAAAATATTTATTATAGAAGCTTGTGAAAAGAAGATGCATCTGGATTTTGTCTATGGCAGTCTAGGTTCTGAGAGTGTTCTGATCTTCTTTCGTGCTGCTTTATTATTGGATGGGAACCTTTCTTTGTCAAGTGCACGCGTGCAATCGCGACTTTATACGACTTTAAATGGCGCCGACGTTTTAGCAAAGTCTGCGCAACCTTTGCTTGGCTAGGAACGGGGCTCTAAAACCCTTCTTTTCCTGTGTTTTAAGCTTTTTGGCTATGTGACATCCGCGTGCAATGCGCGGTTGCCGAACGCAATGGGCCACGTCACGACACTCGTGACGAACCACAGTGCTCAAAAAACTTTCGAGGGGCAGCCTCCTGCCGTTGGTGAATGTGGGGAGGCGCAGCCCCGATTGACTGGATCCCCAACGGTTTGCTTCGAAGGGCCGCAGGGCCCCGTTTGCATCTTGCTATGCGTGCGGCATCGCTTGATCGAATGCCCAGGGGTTCCACATTGCTCACCAGTGGCGTTCCGCTTTGGTACGGCGAACCTCCGGCACCTCCCATTTGGGAAAAATATACGCGGATAGCAAACGCCAACGCGAGCAAGATGCGGAACACCATCGATGTGGCAACAGAGACTCTCGTTGCCAGGGCAGTTTGAAACGTTTTGCCGAGCTCGCGGGAAACCGATGAAAGAGGAGAGCGCAATAGCCCTCATCACCGCAAACGGTTTGGACCCATGGGCAAATTTACAGTAAGCATGAACGCTGAGTGTCACGGTGTTCTTGGAAACAGTGCCCGTGGACATGCTGACAATGGGATTGCAGGAGATGGTGGCGCATTCAGAGATAAACCAGGACAGACTATTATCATAGCACTAGAAGGGCTAGAGCATTCCAGTCGCGCACGAATTAAAAGGATCAAATAGCGTTCCGCTTGGCGCGGATCACGGCGGGTCGATGGTCGGAAATCTCAACTTTGACGAAAAAGAATTTTCTGCAGGCCGAGGGTCGGAGCTGTGATTTTGGATGGGGCCGAGGTTACAAAAACAGTTAAAATGGATCCCCATCAAGCCTCCCGCTTTGTAAAAAAGATTCAGGGCAAGGGCGCGTTTGCTCCCATACGACTGCTGGCCGCTTTGCGCCCATAAGAGTACCCCACACATTTGACAACCAACAACGTGGAACGTATTCTGGCTTCATATGGTAGCACTGCTCATTCGAACAAGTGCGGTGCATTGAGGCACGTGGCAAAGTTGGTTGAGGTCCACGGCATGAATCCGCACGCGACCGCGCAACTCGCAAAACATGTGAATCCGTTTGACCTCCCGCAGGAAATGGCTTGATATCTTGCCACCACACGGCATTGCTCACAAACGTTTCTTCGGTGTCGGCGTTGGTGTGATAAAAGGTTTTTCATAGTGGTTTCGAGTCTTGGATTCCTCCCGAAAAGGAAAAGATAAAAAGAGGTCATAGTACGATCACACATCTTCGGCAGAAGCACGGACGAATTGCGCCAGTAGAGGAAGAAAGCACAACCCCTCTACAGCCAGTTCAGGCGGCGGTGCTTGATATTGGTTGGATTGTATCCTGGTTGGACGGGGAATTTTTTTTGTTGTTTCTAACACATTTGGTCTTTGCTGGGATTAAACGCATGCTAGCGTTCGAGAAAAAGTTCAAGAGTCATTCCCGTGGCGGACGCGGCTCTTTTGCGAGATGCGGGGGGCAATAACGGATGCCCCATCATTAGAAACAGGTTCCTCGGTCGTACCTTCTTCCCTCATTGAAGTAAAACCGTAGGAGAAACGCCAAAGATGGATAGCACAGCCGTGCGAGAAAAACAGCGCGACAACGCAGCAGGCGGTCTGTCATGTGGTGTCGCTTTGTCGGTGGTGGGCTTGGCGAAAGGGGTTAAAATTACAAAGGTGGGCGGAGGGGTCTGGGGAGGAAAGGGGCCTTAGAATCTGCCACTTCATAAGTCCTGTGGGGTTAGTCTTCCGGAAGAATAGAGAATATAATGTTTAGTGTCTTTTCTTTATTCTTCATGTCAAAGACTGGTTGTGGAGAATCAATTCGCACCTCATAGATTTTTTTTTCGTTTCTTTCTGTTAATTTGCCCAGCGGAGTTTGGCCAAATTAGGAAGCATTTTCGAATTTTGTAAAACCCCCTTTTTGCGGTGATAAGCTGTAGTTTCTCTGTCCTATTGTCCAGCAAGAGTTTCTGTAACAATTCAATGGGTTTGTGGGGCTTGCGCGGCGCCGATATTTTGCGTCAAAGGAGAAAAAAACTCTTTTTTTTTGTCGCGCAGGGCCGTTCCTATACAAAGTCTGCGCATTGATTGGCCAAGAAAATGCCGGAGGGCCGCAGCGCTGATGGTCTAGGTGGTTATGACGTCGCTTTAACACGGCGAAGGTCTCGGGTTTGAGTCCCGATCGGCGTATCTTTTCACCACTCTGCAGTGCCATTGGTAGGGCCCCACGTAATACCTTACCAGGAATTAAAATGTTGGTTGTTTTCTTTTTTTTTCTTTGAATTCTTTTGCCCCAGTAAAAGGCCAAAGATTATTATTATTATTATTAATGACAATCTGGTCTAAGAATTTCTTTGTCAAGCAGTATTTTCTATAACGTTTCTGCTTTTAAGTCGCGTGGCTAGGCCATATGTTGTTTCGCAGTCTTTTTTTTTGGTTTGGTGCAAGGGCGGCCTCTGGCCCAACCTTTCCCCATGTTTCATCGCGCGTCCCAACGCGGAATATTTTAAGAAATTATAGGTAAAAAAATTTCGCCAATTTATTTGGATTACGTTGAGGCTTTTAATGCGCACAGGCCGATCGGGCAGGGTGAGGCCGGCTTCTGGACGCCAGCGAAGGGACCAGAACCCTTCCACAGGCTGATTCCAATTTCCCTGGCCCCTCTCTGGCTCCAAAACGGGGTGTGCGGGCATAGGTTGTGCTGATTCTTCTCAAATGAAGTATTGGTTTTTTCACAAATAGGGGAACGGATTTGGTAAATGACTAAGCTTGCGAGCGCTACCAACGTGCTCTGGATTCCTGCCCGCGAAAGCTGTGGAAAAAACCGCCCCAAGCTTTCTGAAGAAGGCCGTCCGCCATTATTGTCCCATTCCTGTGGCAGAAAATGGCTCGTGTAGACTCCTATAAACTTACAGGTTTTCTGTGGCGAGAGCGAATCCGCAAAAAAAAAAAAATCCATTTCAGGGCTCTGTAAGAATCCTTGTTGTGGGTTTTTTTTCTCCACTGACGCACTTTGGCTTCCCTTTTTCTTCATGCCCTCCCCACGTTCAGTAAGGTCTGTTTTGCCCAAGATGAAGTCTACCACAACCACTATTTTTCTACAGCTTCAGAGAGACGCAAGCCGCTAGCATTTCCGTTTGCGTCCCATTATGTTCGAGAACTATGCCGCAGAATATAAATTATAACCTAATGGCCGTTCTCTGCTTCCAATTGCGTGGCTCGATTTGCTGTCGCGGTGCCCTTGGCATGGGCCGAATGCGTTGCCGGACGATCATTTCCATCGGTAAGGCTGATTCGTTTATTGGCATTTGCAATTTAAGCTTTACTTGAAACGCACTGCTGCCCAGTTACACCGGGTGTGAGCCCACATGATGACCACCAGATTCATGTCGTTCCGAGCGAATTTGGAACCGTAATTGTTTCCTTTTTCCCCACTTGAGCATAGAATTTTCTCCCAATCCGCATTGCCAGCCATAAAAAAGAGAATGAAACATATACTAGATGCGTAAACCTCACATTTGCCACCCAAAGCGAATGAACACAAACCCATAAATACGGCAACCCGTCGGCACTAGCAAACTGTCTAGGCATAATGCTCCGATTTTTTATTTAGAATCAATAAGCGGGGCCGTGATGACCGTTTTCTGCATTTTTCCACAAGGGCAAGGTTGAAACACCAAGATGGTGGCTGGCGATAATTCCACTGGACTGAACCTGCAACGGAAAAGAAATGAATAAACATCAGTCTTCAAACCTTACAGCGTCTAGAGGGAAAGGAAAAAAAGTATTGCGCAATTTCACTGTTGGGTCTCTTCCACCTCCTGATTATCTACAAGCCGCTGGAGGAATCTAAACCATTAATTCATCCTTAATATTGACGAAAAGAAAATCCTAAAGGCCCGTTTTAACCCGCCACAAAGAATGGCGAAAGGGGATGTGTTCCGTGGACCTTCAACAACCGAGCGTTTGCTGGTTGCAATGCAAAGCGCAAATTGACGAAAAAGAGATATTCCTATTTCAATATTTTTTTCTGCACAACAACGCAAGTCTTGGCAACTACTTTCGAAAGGTGTAAACACCATTATAAGTTTTACCCAGCGTAACATTAGACTATTCATTTCCGAAGCCACATTGCCCAAATGTTCCCTCCCACTACAAAAAAAAAAAAAAGAAAACAACCAACATTTTAATTCCTGGTAAGGTATTACGTGGGGCCCTACCAATGGCACTGCAGAGTGGTGAAAAGATACGCCGAT